AGCTAGTTGTTTGGTCTGCACAAGAAGTGATCCCCATGTAGTGCTGTGTCTTGTTATATGGGAGCTGGGGAGGGCTGCTTTTTAAATCCCAGGGGACTGACCCAGAAAGGAAATGAAGATGTCATCTAGGCTAGGCTTTTCCTCTAGGAGAATAACTGTACTCTCCAAGGCAGGCACATCTGCTTTCAAACATTGCCAGACGTGGAGAATCATGTGACCTCACTTGCTAATCTTTTTTGGATTTCTCACACCCAAAGCAATACAGGCAAAGGGTTCTTCTGTACGTCTAACTGAAATCTCTCCTGCTGCGTTGTAATTCCATTTCCTGGAGGGGATCCAGCCCAGTGTAATTTCCTCCTTCATGTTTTTCAAATCATCAGCTCCTGTCATTGCCCCTAGAGCTAAGTTAGAGTCACCGGTTATAGGCCCAGCAGGGCCATTTTGACGACAGCGTTTCCTTTTCTCTAGGTTTTTTATGAGCCTCCTTGTGACAGGCATATGCTTGGTGAGATCAAAACATTCTGAGGGGAAATTCCACAGGGGAAACTACTTCTCAAAGTCTGCCCTCTGCAAAAATAAAAACCATGCTAAATAGCAGAGTTTTATTAACTGGGGAAGCCAGGCTGAGGAAAATGCCCGATAATTAAAAATAATGGCTTCCTTACAAATACAAAATTGTATTAATTTAAAAATTGGTTTCTCTATCGCTGAATTCCTACCGAGCTGGCTGGGAAGGGAATTGTGCTGATCCTGGCAGTGAAAATAATTCAAAATAACTTTTATGTTCTCCAGGAAGCTTCAAGGTTAATTTAAATATTGCTAGACGGGTAATTTAATTCGGAATAAGAGAACAGCATGGCTAAATGAAAGCTCCTGTGCACTCTAAACTGGGGGGCAGGTACCCACAAAGTGCCAGGCATGCCTGTTGGACCCTCCACCATCTCACACCCGCAGCTGAGGCACCACCTCTTTATAAGTGGCACCCTCATAATTAAAGATATTTGATTAGATTACACAACTTGGCTCAGCTTCCAGTGAATTTATCATATTTAGTTTTTAGAAGGACTGATCATTTTTATAGAAATTTCATGTTTCAAAAGTTAACTCTAACCAGTGCTATCACAAAATCCCATTCCCAGGAACATGGGGAATTTGGGAGTAAGAAAACCCTACCCTAAATTATCAATGGCTAATGGTTAGCACCCATTGTTACTTTTTTATGGTTGGTGCACCTGGGCCAGGAGTCAGAGGCCTCATCAGTTCTAAGTACCAAATGGTGGCACTCGGGTTGGAAACCCCTCTTCCATGCTCGTCCAGCTTGTATTTAATTCTTTCTGTGATCTTAGCCCCCTCACACACTAATCTTACAACTATAGTTGTTATAATGCTAGTCATGACTGTATGTATGATTCACATGTTGGTCTTTCCCATGGTTACATTTTACAGCATATATACATACATATACACATGTATACACACATACAATTATATAATGGTTATATGTGTGACTTACCTGTTGTTGTCTCCCAGGTAACTGAAAATAGGGCTTTATGTCACACTGAGTGTATTTTAACCAAGAGTATGCATCAGAATCACCCAGGGAGCTTTTAAAAATCAAGAAGCCCCCAGACCCTATTCCCTGGGGGACTGATTCAGCAGGTGTGGAGTCAGCCCAGCAGCAGTACCTTGAGCAAGCATCCCAGGTGGTTTGGAGTTGCATGTGTGATGGAGAGCCCCTGGTCCAACAGCCTCTGGTCCAAGAGGAGGCACAGCCTTGGGGTGCAAATGGCAAGCTCTGGTTGGGATCCCAGCTCCACCACTTGCAAACTTGAGCAGGTCCCTTAAACCTGTATATGCCTCGTGTGTAAAATGGGATGATAATGGGTTCTCAGTGCTTGACTGAGAGTGTCATTGTGAGGATTAATTTGATAAAACAAAGGCAGTGCTGAGAACAACACTAAGCCTGTCCTAAGTGCTCAGGATGCATTGCTGTTGCTGTTCATCCTTGCAAACCACAGCAGGCGCCCAGCCTGACATAGCAGAGAGTTGAGGTCCGATAAATGATATATGCACTGGGGCCCTATGATATGAGCAAAGAGAAGCAAAAAGGGAAAAAATAAGGAAAGGGAAGAAGAAAGACAGGAGAAGGATGGCCAAGGGGATGGGAAATAAGTAGGCATGGTAGGGAGACACCAGCAATTGCCTCTAGAGCCCTGAAAATCCTTCCTCGTTGTTTCCACAGCCATTCACGCTGTTGGTGAGGTCTCAAAGTGAAATTCTTAAACACACTGGTTTGAGAATCATGGTGGCCTTCTGCAGTTGTCCCAAGTGAAGCAACCCAATATGGCCAAACTTCTGTTTCTAGAGGAAATGATCTTTCTGACCCCAGCTTGTGGTTTGCTTTAAAAACAGGGACTCTAATCCGGGAACAAGATCCCCCATAATTCTGACAGCATTAACTTTTGGACCTGTTAAAAAATCCTACCACTCACCCTTTGCTGTCCTGACTATTCTTCCAATTGCTGCATGTTTGTCTACAGGAATCTTCCTCTTGCAGTTGGATCACCTTATAATTCCCTGAACTCACCACCTTTATTCCTGTCTCTATGCTTTGGTGCATTCTCTTTTCTAAATGTTCTGTTTTGATGTTCTGTCCTCTTCTCTCTGGCATGCCTCCCTGGAAACAGCAATGGTTTGGGGAATCTGGTAGTCCTGGGTTTACATCCCACCTCTGTCTAGCTATTTGACCCCACTGGGCTCAATTGCCCATGTGTAAAATTGTTTCTGCCTATGTTGTGAGAGTTAAAATGGGATCAAGTATGTATAGTACCTGTCAAAGTATCAGGGACTGGTATCAGTTTTGATTAGTTTCAACTGCTAGTAACAACAGGAGTTTTAGACAGGAAAAATAAGTTCTATGGGTATACAGTCAAGCTAGGCATCTACACTTAATAATTTACTGCATGTTATCAAATGACTACAAGAGAAGAGATCAAATGTCATCACAAAGAAGTGATTATGTTTTATAATGATAAATATGCTAATTACCCTGATTTACTCATCACACATTGTACACAGGTATTGATATTCAACTCTGTATCCCACAAATATCTATAATCAATACATTTCAATAAAAAATAATAACAAGAGCTTAATCAAAATATAGGCTTATTACTTTCTTATGACTTAATAAGAGGTAAGCAATCCATGGCTGTGTGGATGAACAGTAAAGGTCCCTAGGTCAGCAGGGACCTAGGCTCTTTTTCTCTGGATGAGCCATCATCCAGTTTCTAGCCTCAAAGTCACCTCATATTCACAAGGTGAATGCTGGAGCTCCAGCCATCACATTCACATTTCACCTAGGAAAAAGAGGAAAGTGGGAAAACAAAAGATTGCCTACCTCTCAGCTGACTCAGCTTCCTTTAAGGATATTTTTGAGAAGACCTAGCCACCAACTACCACTTACATCTTTTTGTCCACCCCTGTCTCCAAAGGAAGCTGCAAAATGTAATTTTTTTTTTACCTGGCACAAATCTGTTCCCCAGAATACAAGTGTTTGTCATATTATAATTACTCCTTGTCTCCCCCAAACGCTGCAATGCAGAGCCGTCAAGGATTGTGGAAATGTTTTACAGTCTCTTTGTCATTCAACACATGTCAGGGATGGATGCACTATACAGGAAGCAGTAATGCCATTTAAATGTCTAAGTGGTTAACGAGTTGAAGTCTGAAGACTTAAGTTCCAGACCAACCCTACTACTTCATTGCTGTTTGACCTTGAGCAAAACATGTAACCTCTCTGTTTCTTGCTCAGTTTTCTCATTTGTCAAATGGTCTTTGTGAGCATCAGTTCAAACAATGGATGCAAAGAGCCTAACACAATGCCTGTATGTATTAGTCCTCAGCATATGTTAAAGTTATTGTTATCATTATCATCGTGACCACCATCAGCATTACCATTAAGTGCTGTTGAATTGTTAGGGTAAGGTGAGAAGGTACCAGACATCTCTCAAGTCTCTTCCTTTTGCCTGTTTATATCTTCCCCCGCCATCAGCAGCTGCCCCAGGGACATCTGGATTTGCAGTCAATTATGTTGTAAGAGTCTGGGCGAGTCTGCCCCATTTCAATTCACTTCCAGACATACACTCAGGACTAGCTAAATCACGAGAGGCCTTCTTTTTTTGCCCCTAACTAGAGTCTAGTCTACCAGCTCTGCCTTCTGGGACAGGCTTTCTTCTCTGATGAGATCAACTTCTAAATAAATATTAAATTATATCTGATGTGTTCCACTGTTCCTTTCAAATCTAAGCAAATCAGTTCTTCCCTTTGTTGGAATTCCCTCAGCCCTAGTGATACTTGTGTGGCAAGATCTATCTCTACATATTAGAATAAAGAAGGTCGTATAGGAATGAGCCTTTCTATTCCCAGATCTTTGTAAAATATGGATTTCTAAACCCTCCTGTCCACCTTTCTTGATGCCTTTACTTACGATTTTCTAAGAAATCATGGCATGTGTTAATAAAGATCATTAGCTTCTCAGCTAATGATGTGCCAGAAAGGGTTATAAGTATGCAAATACTCAAATTCTCTTGCTCCCAGGACAGCCAAGACAGAGCAGTCAAAACCCCAAAATCCAGGGTTCCTGTGTGTGGCTGTATGATTTGTGCACTGTGCAATTCCCACCATTCACACTTTCTACAATGTGTAATTGTAATTGTGCAGTGCACAACCAACCTAACTGCCCATAGCAGCCATGCCCAGAACCGTCATCTCCAACCATAAGCAGCCTCATTTCTATATTCTAGTGCACCATACAAATATTACCATTTTATGTGCCATGCTGTTATTAAAGAGTTTAGAAAGGACCACTCTAAGTAACTTCAGGGTTATTTCTTCCTCCACTTATTCCCTGGTCATGCCAGCCGTGTCCTCCACAAAAGCCTAAGCTGGCATGCCTGGGTGGTGTCTTTCAAACCAGGTTGTTCATTGTGTTTTCCTAGGTGCATGGAAGAAATCTCTTGTCCATTGACTATGACCGGAATATTCGGACAGAAAAGATCTATGACGATCACCGGAAGTTCACTCTGAGGATCATTTATGACCAGGTGGGCCGCCCCTTCCTTTGGCTCCCCAGCAGCGGGCTGGCAGCCGTCAACGTCTCTTACTTCTTCAACGGGCGCTTGGCCGGCCTTCAGCGCGGGGCCATGAGCGAGAGGACGGACATCGACAAGCAAGGCCGGATTGTGTCCCGCATGTTCGCCGACGGGAAAGTGTGGAGTTACTCCTACCTTGACAAGGTGGGTGAGCATGTCACCCCTGTCAGCTGGGGCCTGCTGTTATTCCCGCTGCTCTTTTCAAACTAGCCTGATGCACTTTGCCATGAGACATTTTAACATCTTTACCTTCACTCTCCAAGGGCTCCTCTCATGCTCCCGCCCTCCCCAGGGAAGGAGAAAATCAGAAGGAAAATGTTATTCATAGCTCAGCACTATTACCATTAAAAGAAAAAAAAAAAAAGTGCTAGACACTCAGTAATGGCAAAAGGACAGATTGTCTGATTTTACTCCAAAAAAGAAGTGCTGTTGAAGTGGGCAGGATTATCCCATTGGCAGCACGGCTAATCATTACTTATGAATTGGAAATGCAGCGAGTCATTTCTGCCTTGTCCTAAATTAAGCCACCCGGGTAGGGAATTTTGCCTAAAACTCAAGTACACAGAGCAACCCTGTCCTACCTACTTGGCCTCTTGACTGAAACAGCCAGCAGATTCTCTCTACATAATTCCCTGTGTCTGAAAGTGCCAAATTCAAGGTCTCCATGTTGGAAGAAAGGTCGGATTGGAGCAGCCCTGGTCGCCTGGTCATTAGACAGGGGCTTGCTCAGCCTGGGCCTCTCACTGGGACTCCCCTTGGCACAGGTTCATGTCTTCCTTCCTCGTCAACCCATTACAATGATAACATGCAGACAACGCTGTTACCTCTCTGCAAGAAGGGGCTGCTGTCCCCTTGGTCCTTCCTGAATAATGTTCTCATTATGCCATAAAATACTGGAATGGTTGACCAGGGGAGGCAAGAATCTCCCAACTGCCTCTAGCTGAGGCCATTTTTCCCCAAAAGAATCAATGATTCTGAGTTATTTCATCTTTGCAGTGGCTTCTAAATAGAGAATGTGCTTTTCCTGTAGATTTAATTAGGGTGTCAAAAACACAGTATGTGTGTCGCCACATCTCTCTCTTACTGAGCCAGTAGCAGTCGTTTCTAAACAACCTTAGGATTCCTTGTTATTGAGCCTGGGGCAAACTCCATGCCTCTCACCTCAGCCCTGCAAGCCCTTGATACTCAAAGTGTGGTGCATCTGAGCTACAGCAGCATCCCCTGGGATCTTGTTACAAATGCAGGTTCTCAGGCCCTGCCCCAGACCTACTGAATCAGAATCTGCCTTTTTACAAGATCCCTGGGTATTTCACATGCACATTAAAGTTTGGGAAGCATTGGTCAGAATTGGCACACTCAGTGAAATAAATCTATTTAACCTCTTGTGAAATCCCATCCTTCATGGCTTTTGAATTGACATTTGGGGAAAAGGAATAAATCATGTCACTCTGAGTGTTTGATCCTTAAGAGCCAACTGATGCAACTGATGTGTTCCCTTCCCCTTTCCTTTCTCCAGTCCATGGTCCTCCTGCTTCAGAGTCAACGTCAGTATATATTTGAGTATGACTCCTCTGACCGTCTCCACGCTGTCACCATGCCCAGCGTCGCCCGGCACAGCATGTCCACGCACACCTCCATTGGCTACATCCGCAACATTTACAACCCACCTGAAAGCAACGCTTCAGTCATCTACGACTACAGTGACGACGGCCGCATCTTAAAGACGTCCTTTTTGGGCACTGGGCGCCAGGTGTTCTACAAGTATGGGAAACTCTCCAAGTTATCGGAGATTGTCTATGACAGTACCGCCGTCACCTTTGGGTATGACGAGACCACCGGCGTTCTGAAGATGGTCAACCTGCAAAGTGGAGGCTTCTCCTGCACCATCAGGTACCGGAAGATTGGCCCCCTCGTGGACAAGCAGATCTACAGGTTCTCCGAGGAAGGAATGGTCAACGCCAGGTTTGACTACACATATCATGACAACAGCTTCCGGATCGCAAGCATCAAGCCTGTCATAAGTGAGACTCCCCTTCCCGTTGACCTGTATCGCTATGATGAGATTTCTGGCAAGGTGGAGCACTTTGGCAAGTTTGGAGTTATCTATTATGACATCAACCAGATCATCACCACTGCCGTGATGACCCTCAGCAAACACTTTGACACCCATGGGCGGATCAAGGAAGTCCAGTATGAGATGTTTCGGTCCCTCATGTACTGGATGACGGTGCAGTATGACAGCATGGGCAGAGTGATCAAGAGGGAACTGAAACTGGGGCCCTACGCCAACACCACAAAGTACACCTACGACTATGACGGGGATGGGCAGCTCCAGAGTGTGGCCGTCAATGACCGCCCCACCTGGCGCTACAGCTATGACCTCAATGGGAACCTCCACCTGCTGAACCCGGGCAATAGTGTGCGCCTTATGCCCTTGCGCTATGACCTCCGGGATCGGATAACCAGACTTGGGGATGTGCAGTACAAAATTGATGATGATGGCTACCTGTGCCAGCGCGGGTCCGACATTTTTGAATACAACTCCAAGGGCCTCCTAACAAAAGCCTACAACAAGGCCAGTGGGTGGAGCATCCAATACCGGTACGATGGTGTAGGGAGGCGGGCTTCCTACAAGACCAACCTGGGCCACCACCTGCAGTACTTCTACTCCGACCTCCACAACCCGACTCGCATCACCCACGTCTACAATCATTCCAACTCGGAGATCACCTCGCTCTACTATGACCTCCAAGGTCACCTCTTTGCCATGGAGAGCAGCAGTGGGGAGGAGTACTATGTTGCCTCGGATAACACAGGGACTCCTCTGGCCGTGTTCAGCATCAACGGTCTCATGATCAAACAGTTGCAGTACACGGCCTATGGGGAGATTTATTATGACTCCAACCCTGACTTCCAGATGGTCATTGGTTTCCACGGGGGCCTCTATGACCCCTTGACCAAGCTGGTCCACTTTACGCAGCGTGACTATGACGTACTGGCAGGACGATGGACCTCTCCCGATTATACCATGTGGAAAAATGTAGGCAAGGAACCGGCCCCCTTTAACCTGTACATGTTCAAGAGCAACAACCCTCTCAGCAATGAGCTGGATCTGAAGAACTACGTGACAGGTGAGGACTCTGCCACCTCCATTGGGCGGTGGCTCCCTGTGGGGTGGTTGTCCTGGTGGACTGCTGGGAACTTGGAAAGAAGGTCTTACAGCTGATGGTAGGAGCATCCTCAAGAGCTGCTAACCCTGGGCAGTGACAGCAGCACGACACCTAGAAAAGTAGAGGGATGGCAGTGCAGAGCAGTCACCAGGTCTGTTTGAAGATGTCCTGACTGATTTCAAATCCATTCCGTTGAAATAACTTTTATAATATCCCTTCCTACCCCAACAGGGGAAAGCAGCCTAAGAAGGGATAAAGAATAGAACTGGTGGTGTCCAAAATATCTGTTTCAAATTTTCTCTCTTCCATTTATAAGTCAAAGGACCTTGGCTAGGTGTTCAGTCTCTCTGACCTGTAGTTTCCTTCTCTGTGAAAGGGTGCTGATAAAACCATTCCATAGTGATTGTGAAGAGCAGATGAACTTATATAGGTAAAGTCTAGTGTGTGGCACTTAGTTGATGTTCATGAAATGGTACCTGCTTGTGTTATTAACATTGTCATTATTAGTGAAGCAATGAGTTAGCCTAGGTTCTGCGATGAATAAAATCTAGTTCCTAACCTTCAGAAGCTCACCTACTCAGATATATATACAAAGAACCAATGAAAATGCAAAGCAGATTTAAGTCTGTGTCACCATACAGGTGTCTGTTCAGTCATTTATTCAAAAAGCATTTATAGCGTGACACCATGCTAGATGCAATGGTGAGCAAGACAAACACCCTTCTCTCAAGAGACTGTGTGTGTGTGTTTGTGCGTGTGTGTGTGTGTTCATTCAGATCTGGAAGACTTGATATAATGCAGAAGGGCCCATGTCAAATTGGGCCTGCAGAATGAATGGGATCTTGGTTGGCAAAAGTGGGCTCAAAGCTGAAGGAAGACTATGAGCAAAAGTCAGAAGGAGATAGGAAGCTTGGAAAGGGGAATAGAAGGAGGAGCCAAGGAATGCAGGTGATATACTGCCCCATGATAAATGAGAAATTGGTGAAATGAGAGTCCCTGTCTATCCATCCATTTGTCCATCCATCCATCTGTCCGTCCATCCATCCATCTACTCATCCATTCAACAAGTATTTGTAAAATATCTAACGTGTACTAAGTACTAGAGATACAGTGGTGAGCAAGATACAGTCCCTGACCTCAGGGAAATAAGCAAGGAAATTGCAATGGGTGGATGCATAGAGATAGACAGATGGATCCACAGAGACCAGGCCCCAATGGGCCAACTTCCAGCAAGCTGGCCAGGGCCATCTCACCTGTCCATGCTTTTTATAGAGGAACAACAGGGGGAACCCCAAGACCAGGGCCTTCAAGTTCCAGGAAACTTACAGCCCTTGGCCGTGGGCCACAGAGACATCAACAGTCAGGTGACCAGGGGTCAGTTGCTCATCCCCTAAGTCAAGAAAGGAAGCAGCAGCTGCTTGGAGCACAGTGCTGCCCTCGATGTGCTACAGAAATAAATAGATGATATTAAAGACCAACTTGCAGCCGTGCAGTGCTTCATTGACAAGTTCCATACCCCTTGAAGTTGAACCAAAGCTTCGTACAACAGAAGGAGCTGGTACCTTTTGAGCCCAGGAGCTGCGACCAAGCCAGTTCTTTCCTGTCCTCCTCCCCCTGAGCGCTGCCACAGTGCCCTGCCAAGGCTTCCCCTCTTCCCCATGGCTTAGAAGGACATTTGTTCCCCAATTCACTGCACCTCTCAGGAAAACACACACAAATACGTAGTATCAGGTAATAACAAGTGCTGTGAAGATAAAATAGGATAAGGGGTTAGTCAGTGATGGGAAGTGTCTTCTCTATTAAGGGTGCTCACAGAAGGCCTTTCTGAGCAGGTGGAATTTGAGCAGAGACCTTTATGAAGTGGGGGACAAAGGACGAGAGTGTTCCAGAGAGAGGCAGCGGTGTGAGTGGGCGGCAGACCATGCCTGTCTTAGCCGTAGGAGAGACTCCTGCCCCACACAGAATGTCTCTCCCAGAGCCCCGCTTGGCGCTGTGTACTGTGAGGCCGAATCAGCCAGAGCTGATAAATAGAAACCCTCAGACTGAGCTGNATTTGAGCAGAGACCTTTATGAAGTGGGGGACAAAGGACGAGAGTGTTCCAGAGAGAGGCAGCGGTGTGAGTGGGCGGCAGACCATGCCTGTCTTAGCCGTAGGAGAGACTCCTGCCCCACACAGAATGTCTCTCCCAGAGCCCCGCTTGGCGCTGTGTACTGTGAGGCCGAATCAGCCAGAGCTGATAAATAGAAACCCTCAGACTGAGCTGAACAGACATCGCTGCCAAAGCCCAAACAAAATCATTCACAGGGCGCCGTCAACCTCACTGACCCCCTCGGCTGCTTTCCTGCTTCTCCGGAAAAGAAAAAAAAAATAGTGAGGTTTTCTGAATAGCGAGATGGCTCTCCCTATTCCAGCGCTTCATAGAGACTCAGTAAATGGGAATCAAATCAAGTTGAACTAAGTCCAACCAAATTGAATCCAGAAACCATTAGAAAGAGTCTAAAATAAAGCGTGGTGTCAGAGAAGCCGCTGAGGGAAGGGGGCTGGGCAGATAGAGGAAGGAGCCGGGCCAGGCACAGCCCGTGCCCGCTGCCTGTTCACGGGGCGACGACCTTCAGATTGTGGATCCAAGCAGGGGACACCAAATCATTCTCCTCTCTGCAAATGTAGGCCCCTCTGTAAAGCCCATCTAAATTAGTCTTAATTTGCCACTTAGGAGACTAGCAGAGTGGTTGAACTTGCTGCTCACAATTTAAGCAGAAGTGGTAATTAAGATGTAGTTGGAAGGAATGCAAGGAACAGAACCTTCTCTCTCCATCATTGCTGTTTGGAAACTGAGCTCTCTGAATGTAAGTGGAAGCTCCTGAAGCTGGAGGAGGTTCTGTCCCCACCCAGGAATGCTGGTGCAAAGCAAAGCACCACAGAGTACTAACTGGGCAGGAGCTCAAAGACACCTGGGCTGGA